TATCGACACCTAAATTTATTTTTCCTACAGTTACCTAACAATGTACATGTTCTCTCACTGATTTGAGAAAGCAAAGTGGCCAATTCGCTCATCAGTGAGACAATGTTAACATTAATTACAGTGGTGAAAATACATAAATTAGCTCACCATATAATTAAAAACCAACATACAGGTGTTAACATTGCCTCACTCTAATTACTTTGTCTCACTCTAGATTTGCAACGTGAAGGCACGTTTCTTTACCAATTTATTTGTTTTATGGTAACTGTAGGAAACATATAATGTGCAACTCGAGTGCAAAGTGCAATCGCCTCACTCGATTTGCTCACTAGTTGCACAAATAACTATTTCTTTTGTTTCACATTGTAGGGTCCTGTATATTGTTTTCTGGTTCACTTTTTATATAAATAAATTTCAATTTTTGTGATTTAATCTTGATATTCCCTCTCTCGTTGGGTTGGGAGGCTGCTAGTTGAATTTAGCAAATTATATTGGTTGTAAATTTACATAATTACCTTTAACCCATCTTACGGTCCGGCAAGTCTATAATATTGTTTTTACATATAATCCAATTATTTAACTAAGATATATATCTAGATCTCTTCGCCTGATCAATTAAAAGAAGTAGAAAGTTTGTATTTTAAAATTATTGCAGAACAAATTCATAGCTGGAAAAACAAGTTGGCTGTAAAATATATAAAAAAAGGAATGAGGATTATATCTACTTGCGTTCGACCTTGACCTCCGTTATCATGTGAAAACAGCTGGGTTTGTTTACCTTAACATGACGCAATACCCCATAGTAGTTATGATCAAAACTGTAAAAAGGAACATGACAACTAATTAGTAATACTTAGTAGTGTTTGTTGTTTTATTAAGATTAAAAGTAAAGTAATAATTTTAGTAGAAGCAAGGAAGTATTATTAAATGGTTAAAATATTATAATTGTACATTGTTCTTATTTTTTCCGAAGTGGTGGATGCAGAATCAAATAACCAACTAACAATAATTTTTTCAAACCTCAGTTTTAAAATATCTTTTTTATTTGTTACATTTGATTTCCTTAGATAAATTTAATTAAAAGACAATGCTCTGCTAAAAGAAATACTGCTAAAAGACATTCTATTGATGCAGCTTTTTTATAAAAGAAACAACTCTCTTTTATGAAAAGAGACTTAAATTAAAAATCTATCTTTGTCCTCTTCTCTAGGAAGTTTGCAAGAGAATTATAATACCTTTGGTCATTCCTTTCTGTTGGGATAAATTGTTACAAGATTTCGTTAAGTTTCTTTAAATAGTTAAAAAGTTAACTTTATATTGTAAGGAAAGGGTTTTTAACAGTTCTTTTGTTATACATAAAACTTGTTTTAGCGAAACATTATATTTTACAAGTATTATTTCAATAAAACAAAGGTTTGTTTTCCTCTTACAATTAAGACAAAAATTTTGACTTAAAATTAAAATAATAAGAAAGTTTAAAGAATAGAAGAATATGAGATTTTATAAAGTAAAATTTCATAATTTCTCGTGTTTATAATGTATATTTGATGTAGGTATCATAATAAGGTATCCGAACAACAATACTTTAAAGATGAATTATTTTAATAGAAATAATAAATACGTAGTTTTCTTTATGTTACATTTTATTTCAAAAATAGAAATATTATAAAGAATATTACATAATTCGCACTGGGTTAAGCTTGTGTATTGTTTTTTTAATTATTAGCTAGCCTACTTGAAATAGGAATAGCCATTAATTACAGTGGTGTAAATACATAAATTAGTTCACCATATAATTAAAAACCAACATACTCAAGGTGTTAATAAGATACTTGGAGAAATATTGTTATCATACTGATAACCAAAATTAATGTTTCATAAAATTAATTATTTCATAAATTTAAACTGTTAACGAAAATTAGCGTTTTGCAGAGGTGAAAAATTAAAACCTAAATCACAAGAGCTTGCAAATCAGAAATCAGTTTGTTTAGTGGTTGATAACCACGTCATCGGCTTTGATTATGTTGCTAAGCAACCACAACTCCAAATACAAAACATTTAACCATCAATGGTTCGTTAAAATGGCTAGGTTAATTAAATGATTTAAAAGAATTAAAGGTTTTTATGAAAATAAACTTATTTTTAAGGACCAGAGAGTTAAAGTTCAGGAAGACTGTATTAGTTCAATGTTTACTTGGCGTTTGTTTTAATTCTTTTAAATATTTTGGCTCCATTAAGTGCAATCTGATCCGTAATGTTGTAATAAACATCTGTTAGAGCAAAATAAATACGAATTGATTCTTGGTTGGATTACTGGATTTGAATACTGAAAACTAACAACAACTTAACAATACTTAACCTAACTAAATTTTGGAAGAGGAAAAGAATGTCTTTTCTTTTGTTAAATAACATTACCCAGAAAATTCACTTAAATGAATTTGCAGGTTATACCTTCTAATACACAAACAATCAAATGTACATATGATAATAAGATTGCATTATTATTATTGAAACACCCTCGGTAAATTCAAAACTTGTTTATGTTACCAAAAACGGGGTCAAGTGGGGTAATTGGAATGAGAAAATCATATAATTCCTCTTTGAAGTGACACAGTTTTTTTTGTCAGTATGGAGCTATGAAACTTTGCTCACAAATAAATTGGTATCTTAAGTGATTGCTGAATTAATTTCAAGGTAAAGTAAAAATACCTATGGAAAAAATGTTTTTCAAAACCATTGGGCATTATATTAATTGCCCTACCACACTGGGGAAAATGGAATCACAGTTGGTATTTTCCAAATGCTTATATATAGATCAGTTCTGGGGCAATTGGGATATATTCCATGTTGTCAGTTTTCAGAGAAATTTTTAATTTTTTAATTATGTTAACAACTTTGGGAGTTACAAACTTTTTGGTGGGGTGATTCCAATTACCCCACACCCCGTGATTCCTATTACCCCACACCCCGTGATTCCTATTATCCCCTGATGCGTTTTAGGAGGGGTAATTGGGATCACGGCTATAACATTTTATCTGTTCATCTGAAGCTATTGCTGATATTTTTTATGGATTCCTCGATGAAAAATAAGTACATTTCAAGTCTTCTTATCATTTCAACACATCCAGGAAAAAATAAAAAAAAAATACCAAAGAGTCACAATCAAATTTGTGTGACAAGTGTAAATGCAGGCATTTAGAAAAAAAATCACAAAAAATAAAATGTGAAATTTTTATAAAAACAATTAATGGTAACTGAAAAAAAACATATGATGTGTTATAAAATTCGACATGTGTACTTTTTTAAGCAAAAATAACATGACTGCAACCCGTTATTCCAATAGCCCCTTGCTCCCAATTACCCGACTTGACCCCATATTATTCTAAAATGTACGTATTCACTTTTTTTAATTCATAAAAATAGGCTACAAGCTTAATTATTCTTTTTACTTTACAACGCCGAATGCAAATTTGTCCTAACACGTGACCGTGCGTAAAATCAATATCAATGGTTTCCCCAAACATTCGTATTTTTGTTTTTAATATTTAAAAATCACTTTCAAACTATCTTAGCCTATTTACAAAACACAACCATTCTCGGTCCCGTAAACCCCACTATGAAAACGTTATTACTGGGAAAATATCCGTAAAGCAAAGAACAAAGGCGGGTTTTGAAATTAAATCGTTTGTTATCTGAAGCTTTCTCATAAACAAAATAATAGGAATGTCTTCTGCACTTGCTACTTAGAAAGTCTTACAATCCAGATAAGAAAATTAGCCTGTTACATTGCCTCAAATACTTATTCAAAAAGTTATAGTAAACGTCTTATTGAACTATTTTCGTTTGGTAAATTTATTAATCATTCATTATTAATGGTACTTTAACTAAAAAAAAATTAAAACTTTAATAACATCCAACTACCAGATCTGTATCCCAGGTGAAGTCTTAAAAGTTACTTAAAGTCTTTGTTGGGTTATAAATTCCCCTTGGGCACTATCGGTATAGTGCAAACGTGTCATAGAACCCAAGCCAATTGTAATTGTTCCAACATATTTATGAGAACAAGCAGGTTAAAAATGGGTTTTGAACCAATTTTATGTTTTTGTATACACTAATATGTATTAAACCTTATCCTTGTAGTACCTAAAATCGGATTATTTTGGTTTGTATTTAACTCGTATTTGGAAAGAAGTATGGTAATCAAAAACATTATTAAGTCGAAAACATTTTTTTCACCCATGTCCACACGTAACAATGATCGTCATGGCTGAGGTAGCATAAACCTTAAAATCGTAATTGTAATTAATTATAATCTTAATCTTAGTTTTGTTTAAACAAACACTTCAATTAATTATTCTTCCAAAATACGTGTTGTTTTTATCTTAGCTTAATACGTTTTTCAAACAAAATATTCACCAAAAAGCGAGTTAAAAAAATCTTAAAAGACGTTAGGCACGATCCTGGTATTGTGTTGCACATTCCTTCAGGCTAGACCTAGTTGTTACGGCATTATCGCTTAGATAAAATCCATTGGCGATTTCACGTGATTTGAACCCGGGACCTCAGGGATGGAAGTCCCCTGCTCTAACCACTAGACCAGATCGCCCCCCCACCAACAAGTAACAATATATTCAAAAATATTTTCACATCCCTAGTATCACAGAATATATACTACTATAACCCAGAATGCTGACTGCTGGTTATAAAGCGTTAAGTACTCGGAGAGAGCTTTGCCTGTCGCTCGATAGGCAGCGCCACCAGCGTTGACGGGCAAGCGCTGTCAGTGCTGCCAACTGCACGCACCCTTATTTCCCTCTCTCTCCTAGCTAAGCTGTCGTGGCTCGTCTGCACTGCACTGTCTAGTGTAGCCAGCGCGCGCGCGCGTTCATTTCAAAACGGAATTGTATTCTCAATTGTCAATGGATATTTGTGTTTCGAAATAGTGTGTTTTTTTTAGTTATTTTAAGTTAATTGTTATCATGACAAGGACAAAGTGTAGCTATAAGTCTTGTTCTTCAAGCCGGGAGGAAGGTGTCCGTATGTTCCGGTTCCCCAATTCACCATTAGCCGATATTTGGACGATTAATTGCGGTAAGTACTGAATAATATCATATATTCATATATATATATATATTTATATATTAATGTTTTCACGACACCTTTTAAGAATACAAAACTTAAATATTAATTTGTATTGTGTATTGTGTTGTTCTATAAAGTTAGTAGGTACTAATAAGTTTACATTTCAAATAAGATCGCAGCATTACGATTAGAAATTATTTGATTGCTCATAACTTCAAATGTATTATGGCGTATAAAACTGGAATTATCAGTAGAATAATTAGAGGTAACAATCTGGAACAAAAAAATAATTTGTCTTAAAGTGTTGCAGCGCGTTATGCGCCATTGCTTTGGTAATAATAAAAACTAACACTTTGAAATTAACTATAATTGTATTAATGTAGAAAGTAACAAATAATATTAGTGGGCTGTATAAATGAAACCGTTGTGAAAAAACTAATGTGGTTTTAACATAATGTGAATAAGACTAATGAAATGCGTTGAGGGATCTGCCTCTCACGTTCTATATGAAGCTATGCGAACTTAACAATGTGATGCTCGTCGAAACAGAGACAAAAGACAACTCCCTTACCCAAGGTTTGAGTTACAACATTCTAAGAACTGGCGAGGAAGGGTCCGTCCTTTCGTAGAAGGACGGTGATTTATTACTCTGTACCGCTGCTAAAGCCGACAAGTGGCCCTAGGTGAAAGAACGTTAGACTCTACATTTTGAAATACTAAACTAAATGTGAAAACTAATTATCCTAAACAACATTCGGGTTATTGACATCATTTATTTATGTTTATGATCCATACCGGTTCTGTTATAATATTCATCTATCTATCTATCTATATAAATAAAATTAGACTTTTGTCTGTACATTGCTCAGAATCATAAATTTTTAGATTATTTTTACGTTTTATACATTAAAGAAGCCGAAACAAGTCTCATCTAAATTTCTGTCTGTCTGTCTGTAACACTCAAGGTGGTATTTTACGCAATCTTCTCCAGGAAAACGAGAGTACCTATCAAGATCCAAGTTATTTTAATGTATTCACTGGATTGGCGAGAGTGTCTTTAGCCATTACAATATGGCCTCAATGCCCTCAATACTTTGTAAATAAAATTACGGACGTTTAAAAAAGCAGATTTGTGCGATTTTTTTCAAGTTTTCGTCCAATTTTTATCACATAATCATCTATGAAATAACGAACAGCTGTTCTGATCAAGATTATTTTTTCTAGATATGTTTACAAATACCGCAACCATTTCCGATCAAGTTTTAAAGGCAAATCCCATCCAAGTGAGATTTACAACGTTTTTTTTTTACATAAAGGATGTAATTAATCGCAAGTGGAATATTTAATATAGTGTAACCGTAAATGAAATTAACTAACTAGGCATCATCCAGGTCAGGAACCAGAGATTGTTTGTGTATAAAATTGTTCTGAAGTTTTGATAACCAGAAAGAAGACATCGAATCAGTGTTGTATATGGCTGGGAAAGTTCAATTTATTAATGATCGTCGCCAATAGCTTAGAAACAAGGTTCCACTCATTGACGGCGCTTCAATGGCGGTTGTGTACAGTGTAAAGTAAAAATTCACAACTGCAGTGGGTGGTTGTAACAGAGGTTTACGGATGATGCTAAGCTCGATTTTCCAATGTGTCACTTTCTGTTCCTACCATTGATTATATATAGTTAATAGTTCCTACTCACCGTTCCTACCCGACCGCTTTTCATGATTGAGGTCTGAAATTGAAGGTATGCACGCACAGATTTGCATTCAAGCATTGGCATATACAGTGTTTTTTAGTAAAGCATATCGGGCTTCAGATTCTACATGAAAAAATAAATCGCAAATGTCGAGAATTTTTTTTCAATTTCGTGTTACTTCAGCCGTAAACCGCAATTTTTTTATTTTTTTGAAAATATTAATAACTTAAAAACCCTTGGAGATATTTTTATGAAACTTTGTAGAAACTTTAAGTCTACAGGAACAAACATTCTCCGAAAATATCTTTGATCATAAGGCTTACCAAATTTCAAAAGACGGTAATTTAAAATTTTGTTTTAAGGTGACACAGTACTCCCTATCCCGCCCATGTTAAAATGACAGTTTTTAGGTACACATAACTGTTACAAATATTAACCTATCAACTTGAAATTTTTGTACTAAGTTAAATACATTATTACCAACAATAATATGAAGCAAAAATGTTTTTGAGCAAAATTAAATTGTCAGTGTTGAGGTTAAATCTGTGGACCTTATTTAATTATAATACTTGACTCTTCAAACAAACAATACTTTATTTTATAACTTTTAAACAGAACACATATAAATTTATACAACTCATAAGCACATTTTGTTTTTACCAACTAGGAGGTTGCTATGCCAACATAACAACTAATTTTATAAACATGAAACAGTCTTTAATTACACATAGAATAATAAATAATTGAGTTAGGGTATATTTTGATATATTTTTGTATTGCTTCAACACCCTCCCTAAATATAAAAATGTATTGTCTTCTTACAAACAGTTTTAAACAACATTCATCTTATTTCTGAATGTCTGGAACTTTGGTTTACACAGAGCTTTTGTTAATATGTCCGCCAATTGGTTTTCAGAGTTAATGTACTTTAAAACAACACTTCCCTTTTTGATAACTTCCCTTAAAAAATGTCATTTGACATCAATGTGTTTAAGTCTTTTGTTTTCTAGACTTCCTGCAACAGCTATTGCTGATTGATTATCTTCATGGATGATCAGTGTATAAAGAGTGTATAAAAGTCGCTGTATTGCTTAAAATAATTTTTTCTTCCATAATATGTGGTATGTACGTGTTCAGGAAAGTGGGTTCTACAAAACTAAATAATAAAAATGTTAAAAAAAAATTAATATTTGACGGCGTACCCTCTGCGTCTTGATTAGTAGGCTAGTAGGACCTTGGACATGCTAAATTAGGCTGCAATAGTTTATAAAAGTAGCTGAAAATTTTAAAAATAATTTTCTTTCTTCCTTAATTTTTATTATCTACGTGTTCAGAAAAGTCTGTTCTACAAAACTAAATAATAAAAAAAATATATTTGAGTACTGTGTTACCTTAATGACTAGTTTTCACGGTATTTCACTTTAAAAATTTTAAATGGCCACCATTTTGAAATTTGACGAGCCTAATCAAAGATATTTTCGGAGAACGTAAAAATTCGTTTTTAATAGCTAAAGACAGTGTCAAAAATGTTTCAATACTGGCAAATAACTTACCATTCGGTGCTTTTGTTTGTCAGGAGAAGGCCGCGTAAAATGCCTTCCGGGCCATGACAGACGGACACACGGAAATTGAGATAAAACTTGTTTCGGTTTCTTTAATATATAAAAGTAAAAATTAAGAAAAAAATGATTACATATTGTTATGAGAGGTGATTCGTGGCGAATGACTGGAACACTGGAAATTAACATATGATAATGTGATGGGAATCACATATAGACTGTTAGGAACAAAGACATATAAAATAAAATAAAAATCAAAGCCAACTTGACTGAACACAAATACTATAAATTATTATTCTTTTTTTACAGGGAATCCTTTGCTGATTGGATTTTCACCAAAGAAGCTGAACAGGATCAAAGTTGTTTGTGAGAAGCACTTTCCGAAGGAAGCAATTCTTCCAAGTGGAAGACTGATCCGTGGTTCAGTGCCCTACCCTTATGCTGCGGATTCAGAAGTTGAAGATCCATCTGTTGTTGCGGATTCAGAAGTTGAAGATCCATCTGTTGTACAGTCTCCTGATGTCCATCTTAGCCGAAGTATATGTTCACCAAGAAGATATCCAGGAAGACCACAAACAGACATCATGGCCTCTCCTGCTGTAAGCACGTCATCTGCAACTTTTGAAATTGAGCAGTCTCCATCAGTGCGACAATGGATTGTGAATGCGTCACCGCAAGCAAGCAGATTTGTAGGGAGATCAAATCTACAAACCGTAAGGAAGACCCTTTTTGAATCACCATCAAAAAAACGGATCCAGGAAAATCTCACAAGAAAAAAGAAGCAATTAGCATCTAAAATGGCGACAATATCAGCATTGAAGCGGCAAATCCGAAAATTAAAGCATTTTAAACCAACGCTGCAAAATATCACAGCGGGTTTAAAATCCAAAGCTGCAGCAACACTTTTTGGAATGCAGCTCCACAAAAAAAGGCAAGCTTGGAAGAAAGACGAAATGAAGTTTGCCATTGAATTGTATTTAAGGTCTCCTGCTGCCTATAGATTCTTGGCAAAAAAAATTACCTTACCAGGAATATCTACGGTTAGAAATTGGTTATCTTCCAAAAAGTTATTCATTCCTGGCTTTAACAGCAAGTTATTTGAAAAAATCAAACATAAAGCTGCAAGCATGAATGAGAAAGAAAAGTGTTGTGTATTGCTGGTGGATGAGATGGCTATTAAAAAACAACTGGAATATTCGCCACAGTATGACCTGATTGAAGGGTTTGAGGATTGTGGCTATTTAGGCAGAACGAGGAAATTAGCTTCTGAAGCAACCGTTTTCATGATAAGAGGCTTATACTATCAATGGAAATTACCCATTGGTTATTTTGTTTCAAAGGATGGTCTATCAGGCTCAGTACTTTCTACTCTGATCAAAGACGCCATAGAGCACCTATCAGAAACAGGATTAATGGTCAAAGCTGTTGTCACAGACCAATGTTCCACGAATACCAATGCCTACAGAAGATTAGGAGCAACAGTTGAGAAGCCATTTTTTAAAACTGGTGATAAGAAGATTTTCACTCTGTACGACCCACCACATCTTCTCAAATCTGTCAGAAATAATCTCCTGACACATGACTTTGCCCTCTTTGACGAAAGGATATCTTTCAAAGACATCAGGCGGTTATTTGAAATCGAATCCAGTAGCAAGACAACAAGAGCTGCACATCAATTGACCCCAGCTCATATATACCCGAACAACTTCCAGAAGATGAAAGTGTCGCTCGCTGCTCAGGTCTTCAGCCACACAACATCAGCCGCTTTGCACACTGCAGTAGCGACAGGGCAGATAAGAAGCCCTACTGCCCAACCAACGGCGAGGTTCCTGGCAACAATTAATTCATTGTTTGATGCTATGAATAGTAGGAGGTTAAGGTCTCGAAATCCTGACAACTGTGCGTTGAGTCAAAGTGACAAACATGTGTTAGACATTTTGAAAAATGCAATCGAAATGTTCACTAACTTGAAAAAAATTAATTGCAAATTTCCTAGGCCACCGTGTTTTGATGGTTTTATTTTTACCATTAATGCCATGCTACAGCTGCTGGAAAGTGAAAAATGCAAGTTTCTACTAACCTCCAGGCTGAACCAAGATCCATTAGAAAACTTGTTTTCTGCGATAAGACAAAGAGGTGGATTCAACAGAAATCCTTCAGTACGAGTTTTTAGAGGAACTCTTCGAGTGATGACACTAAAACTCATGATAGAGCCGCCCAAAACAACTTCCTACGACCCAGACGAAGACAAGCTACTGGAAATATCTACTTGTAATCAAAGCGAAGACCTTCAAGGTAAGCAATAAAAATCCTCGTACAACTTTGGTAGAACAATTTCTAGTTTTTTAGGAAACCCCTAGTCAGGAATTGGTGTAGTAAAATATTTCAGAAAACCCCAATAATAAACCCATTAACAATTTTGTTTGAGATAGTTTAAGTAAAAAAGCGATTTTTATATTGCATTATGTTTATAAAGCTGTTGTTTAAAAGATAACCAGGATTACTCATGATAGCAATTATATTTTTGTTCTGAAGAATTGCTGTTTGTCATATATTTTTAGTTTGACGTCAAAATTGAATAAAGCTTTGTTATATTGCATGCTGTTAATTATTGAGCTGTTGTTTGAGAGATTACAATGATTTACCAAGATATAAAATTAGTTTTGTTATATAGGATAAAATTGCTGTTTGTAAAGACCCATTGTCCAAGGACATTCAAGTTGTCTTGCATTCCAAAGTAAAAATAAAAAGTGAAAAGGATAACGATTGTGTAAATGTATATACATAACAATAGAAGGATCTGTTGGATGCACATAACAACTTGATCAATGAAATACTGTATATTTAATCTATCCTGGTAAAGTCAATCCGCCTATACGCATGTGTTTTGGTTCTCATTTGTTATTTTATGTTTGAAATACTGTATATTTAATCTATCCTGGTAAAGTCAATGCGCCTATACGCATGTGTTTAGGTTCTCATTTGTTATTTTATGTTTGCATAATTATGATCAGTTGGTTTTATAATTATGTATTTATCAGATCCAATGGCCAATACCGAGGACAACATCAGCCAATCTTCCAGCCAATGCTCCACGTCAAGTGAGGGGGCAGCTGAAACCAACAATCAGAGAATAGATGTGATGCCAGACAGTGTAGTCATGTTGGAAACGTGCTCCCAAGTGTATTTTGCTGGGTATATTGCCCACAGGTACTACAACAAGTACAAATGCATACAGTGCTTAGGTAAGATGTGTGACTTACGTTCAAAGCTTTCAAGTCGAAAGGAACTGCTACTCCTTAACAGATCGTTTACAACTTTTAAAGTGGATGAAACAAGTGGACTTTTGGCCCCTTCGGAGAGCCTCCTGTACGTTGTCGATGCAGCGTTAAAAATTTTCAAAATAAGGTACAAATCAATTGCCCACAAACGCCATCTTGTACGTAGGTTGCTAAACAGTACCAGTAAGATAGTTTCATTCGGGTCACTGACTTGTGCCAATGCCAATTGTTTTAGGAATGAAGATTTCGTTGTAAGAACTTTATTCCGTATTTTGATACAGAAACAATGCAAATGGATAAGTACCAGCATGAAAACCAGTGCCTTAGACAAGTTAAAAGTGTTAAAGCATGTCTAAGGTTTGATACAAGACAAACCAGTCCATTATTGAGTCCACAGTTATTGAGTTTTTAACCCTCTTTTTTGCTCCTTTGTGTTCAATTTAACTGTAACATTGTTGCTCTTATATGTCGCAATTGCATCGTGTATTTTGTTTGTATTAGCTATTTGGCTTTTGTACATTACTACGTGTATATATTTATTTGTTTTGCAATAGCCTAATATGGTATTTGTAATTTTATACCTGTCATATACTATTGTTTCATTATCGATACTGGGAACTTGTTTTTTTCGGGTATATTTAACCTTATTTGCTATTACATATATGTCGCAATTGCATCTGTATTTCATTTGTATTAGCTATTTGGCTTTTGTAGGCTACCTTTCTACGTGTACATAATTCTGTTTATCAATATCTTTATTTGTCATATGTAATTTTTTACCTGTAATATACTATTGTTTCATTGTCGATACTGGGCACTTGTTTTTCCGAGCGCATTTAACGCTATTTGCTCTTATATATTGCAATTGCATCGTGTTCTTTGTTTGTAATAGCTATTTGGTTATTGTACTTTACTATTTTATTGTTGGTATTTAGCCTAGCCTACATGTTTTTTTGTACTGTTTTGTGATATAAATGTAAGTGTTCTCATTCGAATAAATTATTTTTATTTGGCAAATTTCGTTTACATTATTTTTGTTTATTAATCTAAATCGTTAGTTGTGTTGGATAACAAGGTAGAAGGTGGAAGATTATTAAAAATTTTGTTTACCTTTGGTAACCTAATAAATAAGTTTTACGCATATTTTGTCAATGGCACTATAAATATTTATACAAACCATCAAAGTCCTAAATGTTTGCTACAAAACTTAAATAAATTACTGAAATATATTTTATATTGCGTTGTCATCCAGTTATTTTTTATGTTTAAAATTTCTAATCTTGCTCATCTGGGAGTTAATTGTAAATTACTGTAGTTGCAAAAGTTTTACAGAACATAATGAAGAGAAGTGAGTTAATTCAATCGTTTTATTAGAATAATCCTTAGAACCATCACGATAGTGCAATTAAATAAAGGCTATTTATATATAATAATTTATTGCAAAACAGCAAACTATGAATTATCGCGACTGAGGATGTTAAAGATTATAAAAACAAATACGTCATATGTTAACTTAAAAACACTACTGGAATAACATTTTATCTGGAAGTGGAATAAAGACAACAGATAACGAGGTAACGCAAAACGTTGAATTAATACAGTAGTACTATAATAGTGGGCATTCATTGAAACGCCAGTGAGTGACAGCGGCTGCGGCAGCCTCGTTCAAGGTCACATATGCCGCGACTGTGGAATGGCGGGACGGGGAGAGAGCGGGAAATATGATGCGCCCGTCTAGTTACAGTTGACTCAAACTGGATAAACTTCTCCCGTGCGCGCTGAGTTGAAGACACTAGCGCTACCAACAGGCAGCGCTCCAAATTAAATTTCACTTAATGCTACCTCCGTAAGCGTCAGCATTCTGGGTAATAGAAGTATATTTTCTGTGCTAGTATACAGACCACTTTTAATTACATGTTTTCATAGGGTAGACAGTAATTGAAGGAGATAATATAATGGATCATCAGTATTTAACTCCTAAAAACCTGCATCTACGTGTGCGATTTTCTGAAAACTGTTATGCGTCAACTCAACGAAAACCCCTTCCCTTTATTTTGGTTGAGTAGTTCATATTCGATGCATATATTTTACAATATTCTCACATGTATGCGCCAGTGGTTTACGTTGTGTATTGGAATTTCGCTGCCCTATGTTTTAGATTATTTATGAGTTATAATTATTTACTTCACATCGATAGAAAGTCAAAGGTCATCTTGCTTTAGAATGCAATGAATCTCCGACTACAAATCACTGAAAAAGATACTGTTTGTAGAGTAAGTGGTGAAATACTATATAGAAACATTTTTTATATACATATAATTACTCAAATATAAATTGTGCATTGAGCATAGTAGCTATCGTTTGCTAAGCATGAACAAGAATAGTAATTAACCATGTTTACCAAATAATTGACAAAATAGTGTAATTACTGGATTATTCCTATTGCAAAATCATGTTTGTACACCACACTTGATCTATTTACTCGAACGTAATATGTTCTACTTATATGGTATTTTCGTTAAATGGTTACTAGAAGTTTGTATTCTAACGAAAACAATAGTTTTTTGTTGAACATTTTGTAATGTAATTTACATGATCGAGAATAATTTTGGTATCAAACTCAAGTCAGTAAGAATAGTAGTATTTTTTTTAAATCAGCGTAGCACGTAAAAATGTATGTATGTATATGTATAAAAATGTATGAATAGATTTAAAAAATATTTAATGAGAATATGAATATTCAAGGTGTTTAAAAAAATACCTATACTATAACTATAACAATATGAATATTTTACTCTACATAACCAAACGTGTTCTGACT